TGGTTGGACTCGGTGATCTTTAAGGTCTTTTCCAACCTGAGTGATTCTGTGATTCTCTGGGGACGCTGTGTGTTGGAGTGCTGTTCATTGCAGAGCAGCAGCACAGGGCAGGACTAGGGACTGGGAAGATGGGGGTGGTGAGGACAATGTGCGGCCGTGGATTCCTCGGGTGGTACCAGGAAACGCCTCCACGTGTTTGTAGCTGTGTGGAGGTGTGCGTGTCTCCTGCTGTAGCAGAGATGGAGGGGATGGCGCTGACTGAAGGGCGGTGACCGGAGGCAGCACGAAGGCGCCGCGAGGCGGCCGCAGTCAGTCCGGCCGCAGCACAGACAGACGGCGCTGCGGCTCCCCGTCGCACGTGAGGCGGCTCTCGTTCCTTCCGCGTGGGGGCGCGCGCTCTGATGACGTCACGCAACCGCCCATTGCGGGTGCCCTTCTGGCGCCGCGTCCCGCTCCCAGCACGGCGTGGCACCGTGCGCGTGTCGCCATGGAGCGCTCTGCCCTCGGGGCCTTTTTTTGTGCAGCGATCTGCTTGTTTAGTAGCCTTGCTTCCGCGTACACAGCAACCGAACGGTGAAACTGCATCAGAAAAACATGTCAGATGCAAAGCCGCTACTTGGTGCCCAAAGCAAATACAAAGTGGTTGGCCCTGCATTTCTGGCAAAGATTCGAGAAGAACGGAAACTGTTTTTTCTGATACCTGGGTCGTAGTTCGTCCACTGAGATGCACAGTTCCATGAAGGAGAGAATGAGCCTCTGTGTGGCCTAGGCAGCGCAGTGCCGTGATGTTCCAGACGTGTAAGAGTCATGTGCAGGGCGAGCACAGGCACTGCTGCTCTTGCACAAGGGCTGGGCTCACTGACAGCGGTTGTTTGCTTTCCTTTTTAACCTCAGCCAGGCTAGGGATAGAATAGGCATTTCTTACCCACTGATGCCTTTGTCTGCTTGTGCACTGCGTCCCTCTTTCATGCAGAGCTGCTGTTGTGCTGCAAGGCAGCTCTTGTTGGCTCAGAGCAGAGCAGACGGGCAGTGTGCTTGTGGGCATTCTGTAATGCTGTTCAGGCATTGGTCTCAGACTGGGAAATCATGTGCTTATCATCATGCTTTACAGTCACAATCACTTAACCAGCACCATGAAATGGTGGGGATGGTACGTTCTAAGAACTGTTTGCTAGAAAACTAGTGCTCTCTGGTTTTTATTGCAGTTGCCAGCTGCTGGTGAACCTGAACAATAAGAGATTGACCAAAAACTCAAGCGATAGTGAGTGTGCTTGTTTTCTGTACCATGCTGTGCCAGGCATTTGCTCTGATCAGCTAAATGCAAGGAGTGTAGGTAGAGCAGGAAGAGCACTGTCTGTCTTTTTATGAGTGCCTGTTTTCCAAAGCCTAGGTTCCATGTAGGTCAGCACTGTTTTGCTGTTGATCTTTGTTGGAACAGAGATGTATCGTAGAAGGCAGTATGATCCCACACAGATGGCACTGAGCAGGAGGCAGGAGAAACCTGTCTGTGAATGACCATTTTGAGCCAAACGCAGCACATTGTGGTGTTTTGTGGAAGCACAGGATGGTTGATATGGGAAGGGACCTCTGGGTCCATCTGTTCCAGCTCTGCTCCAACGGGCCACCAGAATTGGTGCCCAGGACCACATCCAGATGTGTTTGGCGATCTCCAGGAGACACCGCAGCCTCTCTGGGTCCCTGTGCCAGTGCTGAGTTGGGTGTCAAAAAGGGGGAATGGACTCCAGAGGTCAGGAAGGAGGGCATGGGAGGTACAGCAGACTCAAGGGGTCAGGAGGGGGTGGGGGAGTAAGGGAAGACAGGGGACCCTGGGGGGCAAACTGAGGGGACTGGGGGATGGTAGGAGACTTTACGGATCAGAATGGGGGAATTGGAGTGGGGGTACCTGGGGGCAGAAGACATGTAGGGGGGTGAGAAAGGGTACACAAGAGATCAGAGTGGGGGACCGAGGAAAGAACAGGGGGGAGGGGGTCGGACATGGGATCCTGTGGGTCAGAATGGGGAACAGGGGCAGACACTGATGGAGGAACTGAGGGGAGGGGAGAAGAGGGGTGGAAGAGGACTCCATCAATGAGAATGGGGGAATTGGAGGTGGGGGAGAGGAGGGAGAGTGAGGGAGTCAGACTTAGGGACTCGGGGGATTGTAGGCCACCCTTGGTGGGGGTGGAGGGAAGGCAGTGAAATATCTTGGGGGGGGGGGGGGGGGGGGGGGGGGGGGGGACACAGCCTGAAGCCTGAGTGGGGCTTGAGGGACAGTGGGGGGGTGAAGAGGAGTGTGGGGGAGAGAATGGAGAGCTCTCAGGGATCTCCTGGGGAGGTGGGGGAGCGACTGGGGGAGGGCAGAGCTCCAGGGATGGGATGCAACAGGCAGGCATCAAGATATTGCCCTCTACGCTCCCTCCAAGCTTACCTCTATGCAGGGATGAGCAGACGTCCAGAAACAGTTACCGAGTGTTGAGTGAGCAAGTGTTAGAAGTTAAATAATTAGCGATATATGCTTAACTAGCAAAAATTGATGTTTATCCAGTATTTGTATGTTTAGTTGAGCATCAGGAAGATTGTGATCCTGAAGTACTCAGACAGTGAAGAACCATGGGAGAAAGAGAGAAGTAATAGGGCATAAAAGATGTAAGGCTGCTTTCTGTGCACGCTTCTGCTTGTGGGATGCCCACCATTGCAATTGTGAATAAAATCTCCTTTATCAGAGATCCTGTCCTGATAAATTCTTTGGATATTTCCAACAATATGAACATCATAATCCTCAAAGGAAAAGGAGGGATTGATGTGGGGTGCTCTGTTTGGCAGCAGGGATTAGCACATCAGTTTAAGAACCAACGTATGAGTTTAGCAAAAGGAATCCATGAGTGGTAGTTCTGAAACCACTGCAGCGTTTCAGCTTTAGTGGGAGAACAGCCTCGTTTCTCCTCAATAACTTTGCATGGGGACGCAAATGAGTACTTCTCCCTTCTGCCTCCATGACTGTGCCTCATGAGAAGCACCGGAGTCCCAATAGAATACTTTTATCTTTTGCCTCAAAACATGTGAGGACGTTTTCCTCAGGTCCCACACTCTTAGGAAAAAGTGGCTCACTATGGCCTAATCAGCCGCTCTGCTCGGCAGCCAGTAACGTCTGAGTGCAAAAGCACAATGCGCTGATGGAACTGCATGTTAAGCTCTGCAAATTGCCACAGCACTGCATTCCTGCCAGGGCTGCTGTGTGTGTGTGCAGGGATAGGATTAGGAAAGCCAAGGCATGGGTGGAGGTGAACTTGGAGGGGGTTCTACAGGCACACAGGCAGGAGACAGCCAAGAGAGTGTTCTCCCTCTGATAAATGAGAATGGAGAACTGGCTTCCTGAGAAATGGAAAAAGCTGAGGTGCTCAATAAGTGCTTTGCCTCAGTCTTCCCTGCTGGTCAGGCTCCTCCCCATGCCTGCCAGACCCTGAAGCCCACAGTGCGAGTGAGAGGAGTGGATTCCGTCCCACTGTAACAGTGGAACAAGTCAGAGACCTTCTCATGAACTACTGAAAGTATGTAGGTCCACGGGACCGGATCCATCCCAAGGTTCTGAAAGAGATGGCTGATGTGGTTGCCAAGCCAGTCTCCATCGTGTTTGCAAAATCACGGCAGTCTGGTGAAGTCCCTGTTGACTGGAAAAAGGGAAACATTACTCCCATTTTTAAGAAAGGGAGAAAGGAAGACCCAGGGAACCACAGGATAGTGAGCCTCACCTCTTTGCCTGGGAAGATCATGGAGCAGATCCTCCTAGAAGCTGTGTTAAGGCACATAGAAGACAAAGAGGTGATCCGACAGCCAGCATGGCTGCACCAAGGGCAGATCATGTCTGACCGATCTGGTGGCCTTTGATGATGGGGATCCCCATTTGGTGGATGGGGAAGGGGTGATGGATGTCATCTACCTGGACTTCTGCAAAGCCTTTGACATGATCACCACATCTTGCTCTCTGTTGGAGAGGTGTGGATTTGAAGGATGGACTGTTGGATGGATTAGGAATTGGCTGGCTGGACGCAGCCAAAGGGCTGTGATCAATGGTTCTGTGTCAGGGTGCAGGCCGGTCACAAGCGGTATCCCTCTGGGGTCAGTCTTTGGACCGCTGCTCTTCAACATCTTCATCAATGACAGACAATGGCATTGAGTGCATCCTCAGCAAATTTGTGGATGACACCAAGCCGAGCTCTGTGGTTGAAGTGGTAGAGGGAAGGGAAGCCATCCACAGGGTCCTGGACAGGCTGGAGAAGTGGGCCCATGAAAACCTAATGAGGTTCAGTAAGGCCAAGTGCAGGGTGCTGCACATGGGCCGGAGCAATCCAGGTATTTATACAAACTGGAGGAAGATCTCCTTGAGAGCAGCCCTGTAGAGAAGGACCTGGGGGTCCTGGTGGATGAGAGGCTGGACATGAGCCAGCAGTGTGCGCTTGCAGCCCGGAAGGCCAACTGTGTTCTGGGCTGCATTAAAAAAGGGGTGGCCAGCAGGGAGAGGGAGGCGATTGTCCCCCTCTACTTGGCTCTGGTGAGGCCCCATCTGCAGCACTGCGTCCAGGCCTGGGGCCCCCAGCACAGGAAGGACGTGGAGCTCTTGGAGCGGGTCCAGAGGAGGGCACTGAGATGGTCAGAGAGCTGGAGCACCTCTCCTATGAGGAAATGCTGAGGGAACTTGAGGGCTTGTTTAGCTTGGAGAAGAGAAGGCTCCAGGGAGACCTCATTGTGGCCTTCCAGTACTTGAAGGGAGCGTATAAACGGGAGGGGGAATGGCTGTTTACGAGGGTGGGTAGTGATAGGACAAGGGGGAATGGTTTTAAAGTGAGACAGGGAAGGTTTAGGTTGGATATTAGGAGGAAGTTTTTCACACAGAGGGTGGTGATGCACTGGAACAGGTTGCCCAAGGAGGTTGTGGATGCCCCATCCCCAGAGGCATTCAAGGCCAGGCTGGATGTGGCTCTGGGCAGCCTGGTCTGCTGGTTGGTGACCCTGTACATAGCAGGGGGTTGGAACTCGATTGTGTCCTTTTCAACCCAGGCCATTCTGTGAGTAGGTGACTTTCACAGCCCCTGCCAGAAGCACTCAGCCTCTCCACACCCAGGAGGGAGCAGCTGTACAATAGCACAGACATCCTCGCCGGGGCATCCAGAGAAGCTCTTCTCTGTGCTCGGAGGTGTTTCGGGGAATTTCAGCTGGGCTCAAACCCACGGGGTCTGTCCCCCCTGGGCATGCCCTGTGAAGTCAGAAAAGGCATCATTTGGCATTCACAACTGTGAGCTGTTATGACATTAGAACCTACTGTCCTACTTAGCCGGAGAGGTGTGCAGCAGTGCAGTCCTGCGAGGATTGCAGAGCAGGCAAGTGGGGAAGAGGTGCTCGTGTCCTGAGAGGAGAGCGAGCTGTTCCCTGTGTCTGTGAGAGGAGTGAAGGTGCCAAAATGCTGGCCCAACTGGGCAGGTGGGTGCAGCTGGACCCAGAATGTGGGGAGGGGAAGACAGAAGCACCGTATGCTGCCAGGCTTTCTCCAGCTGGGTGGCCCTAAATCCCCTTCCATGGGCACAGCCCTGCTCCTTCTCTGGGGAGAGCCAGATGGGGCTGGGCTGCTGCTCCTGTGGCACAGCAGAGCCCTTCGCTCTCATGTGTACCACGGGTGCTATGGCACTGGCTGGCTCTTGCTAAAGGGCCCTGGGAATTACATCTCTGCTGGGCAGAGGAACATGGTGGCAGCCGTCTGCTAAAAGGATCCCAGAAGATCGTGTCCCAGTGCTGGGCCTTGATAACCACTGTCTGATCTCTCCCTTAGCCAACACGCTGCCAAAGAGAGGGGAAGGAGGACTCCCATCCTGCTTCTAGCAGTCCTTTCTGGTGACTGTTCCCCAGCCAAAGCCATCCCAGCAGAGCGGGAGAGCAGGACTGTCCCACATGGCATGTCCCCGCTAGGTCTGGAGGAGGAAAATGGGGCTGTGGGGCTCAGAGCAGTCTGAGCAAACTAATGGTCTCTCCCTACTGATGTCCCCCACAGCTGGAGCCTTCCTCTGGATTTTGGCTTGGTGAAATGACATCCCGCGGGTCAGTGCCATGGTGTGCAGCAAAGGCCAAGCTCTGCTCTTCTGCCTCTGTGGAGACAGGGAGGTTGGTCACCGGCGGGCCCTCGAGCCAGGCTGGGGGGCACCTTGGCAGTAGGATGGGCTTCGGTGTGGAAGCATCTTCCCAGTGCCCAGCATGGAGCTCGGGCTGAAGGAAGCAGCGTGTGGTAAGAAGGGACCTTTGCCCATCTGTGGCACTGGGGAGTCTGGAGGGGATGGGAAAGCAAACAATGAAGCAGCAGATGCTCTGCAGCACAGGGAAGGCTTAAGAGCCTGACTTCGGGCAGAGTCCTCTGCAAACTGTTGGGAAGCAGCAGGAAATTCTGCCAGCGGTTCCCTGGGAAGCTCCTTTGGAAGCTCTGGCCATGCTCCTTGTGCATCCCATTGAATGCCTTTCTCTTCCAGATGGCATCAGCAGGACCTTTTGGGAGCATGAGCTCCTGTCTCTGGGGTAAGAACACTTCCTTGCCCTGCACCTGGCTCTTTGCACGCCTTTGCCTCGTGCCCATGGCTCCAGCCTTTCCCATCTGTATGGTGGAAGGCAGCCCTTGGCAAAGTGAAGGAATAAAAGGGGCTGGGGGATAAGGAAGGGCACAACCCCTCAGAATCCTTCACCTCATGGCACTGGAGCTCTGACCTGCGAGTTGGACAGTGCTGGAAACTCACTTTGCCTTTGCCTTCAGGAACTCACTGGTTTGGCTGGAGGGGAAGAGGCAGGAGCTGAACGTGAAAACTACTCAGGTGTCAGCCAGGAAGGACCTCATTCTCCAATCAGTGTTTGATGTCCTCAGAGAGAATGGGGTCCACGGATTGAAGAGAGAGGTAATGGTTCTGCTCCCTCCTGTTTCCTCTCAGCCCATTCCAGAGACAGCTCTGTGCTCTGGCTGCCCACCCCACACTTGGCTCTGAGGCTCAGCCTCTCTTGTGTTTTGGAGCTGCTCTGCTCCTCTCTGAGAGCTGCTGCTGGTGCTAGCTGCACAGTACAGCTGGGATCAGGGTGCTCTGTGCAGCGCTCTGAATTCCCCCTGGGCTGGGCCTTAGCCAGGCACCTGCTGGGTTTGGCTTGGAGGCTGGACATCATCCTTTCCAAGAGACTTGCAGTCAGGCTTCTTAGCTGGAAGGGCCGTTCTCCAGGCCAGCTGCAACTGGAGAACTGCAGGGCCTGGCTGGCTCAGAGCATGATCTGACTGCCTGTCCAGGCTGTTCTGGAGATGGCACAAGGCTGGCAGCAAGGGGGTCAGGCAGAGCCCAAAGCCGATCTTTGCTGTGTCTCTGGAGTCCAGTGGCTCATCAGGACACACTTTCTGGAAGATCTTGCTGGATTTCTGGAAAGACATGGAGCCCTCCCTTAGCTGGTCACACTGATCTCCTCCAGTGTTTGTGCTCACTGCTGTCTCTCCATTCCCTATTTGTTGCCAGGAAATTCTGCAGTTGACACAGCATGCAATTGAGAAAGTCATGGAAAACAGTGTCTGGATGCCCAACTGGGCTCTGGAAACCATAGGTATGTAAACAGACAGCTTCACTACCCTCAGCTTTGCGTCTGGCACTCTCCAAAGCCTGCCAAGCGCTGCTTTCTGTTACAGTTATCTCATAGAGCTTTAGAATGGCTGAGGTCTGAAGGGACCTTACAGACCATCCCAGACCAACTCCCTGCCATTGACAGGGCTGCCATCCTTTCCATCAGGATGCTCAGGGCCCCATCCAGCCTGGTCTCCAGTACTTCCAGGAATGAGGCACCCATGGCTTCTCTGGGCAGCACATTGCAGGGCTTCACTGCCCACTGTGGGTCAAGAATTTCCTCCTGACATCCCATCTACATCTCCACCCTCTGAGAATGTAAAAAGCCTTCACCTGTGTTCCTAGGGCTGACTGGCTCCTTTCCTCAGGTGCTCAATCAGTGGCTTAGGCTGGGACTCAATAGTGCCCATACACAGCAGGAGGGATTTTGCACCCCTGAGCCCCACCAAGAGCTTCAGGGAATGAGAATTCACTCCTTCAGCTTGTCTCTGGGCTGTCCTAGTTCACATCTTTCCATCTTTATTTCAGGTGCCACTGTTGATGCAGAGAGGACATCCAAGAGCTGTGGTGGGAAAGGCTGGAAGAACCATTGGCTTTCTCCACTCTTTTCCACCACAAAGCCTCCCAAGACACTCTTGCAGGTATGCCAGGAGAAATGGTGACTGTGGGTTCACTGCCTTGCCTTCTAGCTGCAGGAGCAAGTGCACAACAATTTCCTTTGGCCCAGCTGCACTGCTTAGCCCACATTCTTCCCATTGTTAACAGCAATGTTGGGAGGGTGATGGGGTGACAGGTGCTGGGGAGGGCTGCCCTGCCAGCTCTGGGCAAGCAGAGAAAGGCAACTGACTCCAGACCTGTTGTCCATACCTTTGCATATTTCCCCCCTGTCCCTTGACTAGTGTTTCATTACTGACTCCTCATCCCCTGGCTCCTCGCTCCATTATGAGGAGAACAGCAGCCCACAGAAAAGGCAAGCTCTGTGCTTCTTGCCCAACAGCCATCTCTGGCAGCTCTTTGCCTCACCGCTGACAGACGCGTCTTTCTCATTTCAGCACGATATTTCTCCTGGCAACTGCTGGGCTTTCCAAGGATCTCGGGGCCACGTGGTCATCCGGCTGCCGGAGAAAATACGTCCCATGGCGTTCACCATCTGGCACATCTCCAAGGCGGTCTCTCCCTCGGGGGAAGTCAGCAGTGCCCCCAAAGACTTTGCTGTCTTGGTAAGTCTCTCCTGCTGCTTCTTCTGGAGCACTCCAAGGAAAAGCTTTGCCATAGAGCCCCATGAGACCCTATAGTGGTGGGAGCTCCCTGAGAGCTGTGATGGGCTGCTGCAGAGCATGGCATCCTGCCCAAGAGCACAGAGACCCTTGGGATGGTTACACGTCTCTGGAGGTCTCTGCTGCTCTTCATGGCCAAGCAGCTAGGAGCAATTGCTGCACGTGCCCTGACTAAGGTTCACCCTCCTTTGTGCTCCAATCCCACCAGAGCTGAGGGGGGGGAGGAAGGGCTCCTGCCTTCAGCCTCAGCATGTTCTTTTTTGCACAGCCTGCCTAAGTATGACCGCTGTCATCTCTTGTCTTTGAGGGAGTGGATGAGGCCGAAGGTGAAACTCTCCTGGGGTTATTTGTTTATGACGTGTACAGAGAGATCGCCCAGGCCTTCCACGTGCAGGTATGGCAAGTGCATGCGGCAGGCTGCCAGGGAGGAAGGCCGGGCTGCCTGCTAGTCCTGGGACAAAAGGGTTTGCCTGATCAGCCGGGCCTTCCTCTGCTCTCCAACGTGGCCGACTCCTGCGGGGCAGACAGACAAGGTAGCCGTCCCACCTTTGGTAGCAATTCTTCCTGCTAGAGCAGAGAGAGCAGCAGCGGGAAGGCAGTGCAGGAGGGAAACTGTCCGACCCCTGCGGGTGTGGAGGGACGATTGCTGGTGGGAGGGAGGAGTGCAGCTGCCTTCCCCCATCAGCAGCGCCATCCTGGCATCCCACGGCAGCCCAAGGAACGGAGCAGAGCAAGCCACGGTTCGGCAGCTGGCAAAGGGAGCTGTGCAGATGTGCCGTGGCTCTTCCCATGTGCATCATGAAGCCTCTCCTATTTGTGTTGTCAGGAGGAGCCCTGCAAAGCCTTCGGCCGTGTCAAATTGGAGGTGCGGAGCAACTGGAGAAACGCAGAACATACCTGCGTGTACTGAGTGGAAATTCACAGGACTTGATACAAGACAGCAGAGATTTTTAGAAGGGAATAATTAAAATAAAATGTTGATGGCTTTCTGCCCGTGTTGAGGTTGATCACTGGAGCGGCGCGTTGGGGCTGGGGGAGGGCGGAGCTGCAGGGCTGAGTTGGGCGAGCACCCCAGCGAACTGTGACGTTGGAAGGGATGCCATTCAGAGGGACCTCGAGAGGCTAGAAAGGTGGGCCCGGGTGAACCTGATGAGGTTCAACATGGCAAAGTGCAGAGTTCTGCACTTGGGCCGGAGGAATCCCAGGCATTCATACAGACTGGAAGGAGAGGTCCTTGAGATCAGCCCTGTGGAGAAGGACCTGGGGGTCCTGATAGATGAAAACCTTAACATGAGCCAGCAGTGTGCCCTTGTGGCTCGGAAGGCAAATGGGATCCTGGGCTCCATCAGAAGAGGGGTGGCCAGCAGGGACAGGGAGGTGATTGTTCCCCTCTACTCTGCTCTTGTGAGGCCCCATCTGGAATACTGCGTCCAGGTCTGGAGCCCCCAGTACAAAAAAGACAGGGAGCTGTTGGAGAGGGTCCAGAGGAGTGCCATGAAGATGATCAGGGGACTGGAGCACCTCTCTTATGAAGACAGGCTGAAGGAGCTGGGCTTGTTCAGCCTGGAGAAAAGAAGGCTGCGGGGTGACCTCATTGCAGCCTTCAGCACCTAAAGGGAGCCTACAAACAGGAGGGGAGTCAACTCTTTGAAAGGGTGATAACAGCAGGATTAGGGGAAATGGTTTGAAGTTGAGGGAGGGGAGATTTAGGTTGGACGTCAGGGGGAAGTTCTTTACAGAGAGAGTGGTGAGGTGCTGGAACAGCTGCCCAGAGAGGCTGTGGATGCCCCGTCCATCCCTGGAGGTGTTCAAGGCCAGGTTGCATGGGGCCCTGGGCAGCCTGGTCCAGCATTAAATGGGGAGGTTGGTGGCCCTGCATGTGGCAGGGGGTTGGAGATTCATGATCCTTGAGGTCCCTTCCAACCCTGGCCATTCTGTGATTCTGTGTCATCACTCTGCACCGCCTGGAGACGGCGGCCATTCGGAAAAAGTCGTGCGATGCCCCGCGCTGTGACGTCATCAGCCTGCGCCGCGAGGAGGCGACGGCCATGCGGAAGCGGTGCGGGGCCTCGCGCTGCTCCGATACTGCGAGGCGGCCTGGGGGCTCAGAGCACCGCCTCGGCTTCTACAAGTGGGTGTTCGGGGGAGGGGGGCACCGGGGCGGAGGCCGCTCTGTGTTGGCCCCGTGGAGCGTCTGTGCTGCTCAGGACTTCTGCTCGGTGCGGAGAGGTGAGCTGTGCCCCCCTGCCGACCCGGGGTGCATTGCTGCTCAGTGTTCTCTTGCTTCCATTTCCGTACATGAAGCATTTTAAAATGCATGTTGTCATGGGCCTAAAGCCACTGCCCTGCTCAGTCTGAGCTGGGTTTGGTGCTGGCTGATTGCCAGGAGGAATCTCAGCAGGAAAGCTGGGCTGGGGAGGAGTTCCCAGCTCCAGCAGCGCCCCTCAGCAGGGCTGTTACCGGGGAAAATGAGTTCTTGTTGGGCTTCCATCCCATGACAAGGGCAACGAGGCTAGTGAAGGGCTTGGAAAAATCAGCCTTATGAGGAGAGGCTGAGGGAGCTGGGGCTGTTTAGTCTGGGGAAGAGGCGGCTGAGGGGAGACCTTATTACTCTCTTCCAGTACCTGAAAGGTGCTTACAGTGAGAGTGAGGTAGGTCTCTTCTTATTGGTGACGAGTGATAAGACAAGGGGAAATGGCCTCAAGTTGCACCAAGGTAAGTTTAGGTTGGACATTAGGAAACACTTCTTTACAGAAAGGGTGGTTAAACATTGGAATAGGCTCCCCAGGGAGGTGGTTGAGTCACCATCCCTGGATGTGTTCAAGAGCCGTTTGGATGTGGTGCTTGGAGATATGATTTAGCAGAGGGTTGTTAGAGTTAGGGTACTGTGGTTAGGCTGCAGTTGGACTTGATGTTCCTTGAGGTCCCTTCCAACCTGAGTAATTCTATGATTCTATGATACTGTGACTCAGTGAGGACGATGAGATGTCATTACTCCCCTGGAAATCCACTGTCGGGCCCCCACCTTCATGTCAGATATTGAAAAGCAAGGAGAGCACAAACTTCTCAGTGCATAACTCATGCCCCCTGCCCCATGGATGGCTGGGTGCGGAGCTATTGAGGAGATGGAGAAGAGCACTTGCTGATAGAAGCCATGGCAGTCAGACACATAAACTGGATCTAGTGCCGGGCAGCTCTGATTTCCAGATGTTGCCCTCCGTAAGAGAGTACATTGCATGGCAAAAGAAAGCTGGGAAAATGCTTCTTCCTCATGATTTTTCACTTGGTGATACTTTCTGTAGAGTTCCTGTCCAAAAGCAGAACTCGGTGATCAAGGCAGTTGAAGAACGAGTGAAGCCAGCTCCTTCCAAGAGCGAGGGAGGTTCCTGTGTGGAGAGAACCCTCGCACCTTGGGCTTCCTCTGACACTTCAGCCATCATGGCTCAGCAAGGAGATGACCGTGGTTCCTATTCCTGCTCTGTGAGAGGAAAGGTATGGCTGGGTTTCTTTTGCTCGGTGTTTCTTCCTTTTTCTCATGTTTAAGGGAAGAGGTGAGCAGGAGGAGCCCTACTGGTCCTTTGTGACCTCAAAAACCAGTTGGATTTGGTTCACTGCTGACAGTCTGGGCTAATGATGCGGACATGGCTTAGGCTGTATTTTCCCTTGGTGATAATTAATCTCTCAGCACTCTGATAATCAATCTCTGGCACAATCTGGAACCTCTCTGCAAACCTTGGCTGCTGTTCCCTGCAACATTTCTTCCTTTCTCTCCTCAGAAGCAGCACGGCGCGGTTCCCCATGTTTGGGAGCAGCAGCCAGCAGGCTGCCGGAGATCCAACAGCGCCTTGCAGTGCACAGAGGGACGCGATGGGAACAGAGCGTCCTTACTGCCACACAAAAGTGAGTTTCTTCAGTCCTTCCTCTGTCATGAAGGATGGAGGATTGAATTTTGAGTATTACTTCTGAGCGGTTGCAGTGCTGCAGGGGATGTCAAGTAAGCATCCATTTGGAGTGCAGGAAGGGGCAGCGAGAAGTGAACTATCAGTTTGTGTTTGGGCTGTCAAAGTAGCATCTTTCTGTTTTCTGGTGGGTTTACTGGACAATACTGCTGCCTGCTGGTGTCTGTGAAATCAATACATGATCTGTTGTAGTGACGGAGCCTGCGTGTCCATGGAATGGTCCATGGAAGGAGTGTTGGAAATATCCAAATAATTTATCAGGATGCTATCTCTGATAAAGTAGATTTTATTTGCAATTGCAATGGTGGGCCTCCTGCTAGCAGGAGAGCCCCTAGTAAAACGGTGTTACAACTTTTGATGCCCTATTGTCTGACGCTTCTCTCTTTCTCCCCTAGTTCCTCACTGGCTGAGTACTTTAGGTTCACAATCTTCTCGATGCTTTGCTAAAAATACAAACACTGGAAAAACATAAATCTTTAAGCATAAGCTTCTAATTAGTTAATTAACTTCTGACCCTCACTCCACACTTGGTCATTGTTTCTGGATATCTGCTCGTCCTCCCTTGCATAGAGACAAGCTCGGAAGGAGGACAGAGGGGAGTATCTTGATGCCTGCCTGTCATATTCCAACCTTCTCACGGGGTTGTGACAGTCTGACCTTCTGTAGAGGCCCTAGCTTCTTTGATGTTTGTTAAATGTGTTTTTCTTTTGCTGGGAGTTTCTTATCCTGACAGAACAACCCTACAATATGTTTTCTAATCCCTAACACTATACCCACATTGTCTGGAACATTTAACAGCTATTGCAGTTTTGCAAGAAAGAATTAATCACATAATTCAGCAATTGTGTTTCTAAAACATGCTGCTAACATATACAGTATTTCTACTTTTTAGATAACTATTTCTAAGGGTAAGTTACAGAATGTAAATACATTATGTTTGACTTCTTCAAACCAATTGCCCTTTTTAATATCTAATGCAGACACAACATTCCATTCCCACAATTCCTCCTCCCCCCCCTCCCCCTTTTTTTTTTTACAATGTTGATTTCTGAAATTCTTCTCTAAGGTACGATTCTAAAGACTTATTCTTTCTTCACTTTCTTCATTTGCCATTTCTTCTAATACCATCATTTTATCCGAATATGGTGTTGGCTCCATTATTGTTTGTTCAGCAGCGCATTTCAATTAATGGCTGTACCAATCCCCTCACACAGGGGATAATACAGCAACCAATGGCCATCAGGACTCCTACTATTATAATCAAGGAAGTAAATATGGATACAATCATCCCTTTTCATTTGCCAAACCAGGACTCCAACTATCCAGTGATAGAAGTATCTATTCCTGAGTTTTCTGCCAATTCATCAGCAAGAGTAGTAAGTCCCCATCGTGCTTTAGTTATTGTGCCATCCGGGGCTGTATTATTTGGGTTGAAAGTGCAACAAGTGCCCGACATTACACACACACACCCTTTTTCATCTAATATCATATCTAAGAGATCTTGTTTTCCCAGGCCATCCTGCTTGTAGCATCCAATTGTTCTGCAATTCCCTTTCTTGACTCCTTTGTATAGTTTATAAATCTCTGCTGATTGTAATAGATGTAGTTTGTCCAATCAATATTTTTGTTAATTGTCACCCACCAGAATAGTGACTCAAATCCTGCAGCAATTTGATTTCTAGCCTTAAATTCATCAGGGACACCTCTGGGCACCCCAATTGAATCTATATATATTGCATCATCAAATGAGACTCCTTGGCTTCTTTTGTTCTTTCTGTGAGTATGTGATAGATCCTTTTTGAATGCCAGAGTGAACGGTATAGCCAGTTGAACAAGTGCACAGGTACCTCCCCAATGAGATGGGAGAGTGGAGCGTAAGTTCTTCCCACTGCAATACCACCAGAGATCTGCTCTAGGGATTCCCAGCCTTGAATAGTTCCCTGCTAAATCTTTCGTA